ATGTGTCTCTGAGTCCTGACTGTCTACAATGAGGGAGAAGCTCGAGTCCCGCTGGCTGTGTTGTTGTCAGAGCCGTGTTTACATGGACGGGACGGCCGGCTCCTCCCCTTGTGTATAAAAGCTGTTTTAGTCAAGAACTAGAGAGAAGAAGAAGAACATACTCACTGATTATTTGGATGTTAGTAAGAGTTTTTAGATCACGCTCATTCTGTGTCAGTTTACATGAAATGTGAAGCTACGAGCTAACTGAAGAGCGCTAACATTAGCATGCTAACACAACAAAGTGAAGCTACGAGCTAACTAAAGAGCGCTAACATTAGCATGCTAACACAACAAAGTGAAGCTACGAGCTAACTAAAGAGCGCTAACATTAGCATGCTAACACAACAACGCAGGACACAGGTGATTGCAGCTCGAGCAAAGGACAAGTTTGTCCCCTGCTTGCTCTTAATGGTTTTTAATTATGGTGCATTCTAATTGATAACTCCTTTGGCCGAACGTGAGTGGAGGTGCTTCAGTATGGAGGAGGTGTGGCCAAACAGCAGTTTGTTTTGGTTTTTATGCTGGGGCTCAAAGGCGACATCTACTGGATCAAAAAGTCACACATTCTTCCTACAATGACTCAGGTTTATATACACAGTATATTATATAGATCTTTTTTAAAGATTATTTTAAGGTTTGCAGTTCAAGGTTACAATAGTTTGATTTTTCATTATTTTGTTTTGACTTTCGATTTTCGTTTAGTTTATATTTTGTGAAAATGTTTCCTTTTTATTAATTTGAGTTTTTTGTGATATTGGATGCATGTCTCTGTACACGACTGTTCAGATGCAGCCCTTTATCTGCTCAGTGATCATGATAAACTGTTTCCTCCTCTCCAGGCGCCGGCGCCCTGAGAAGGCCATCAGTGTGCACATGCAGCTAACGGGAGCGCTGCTCTGCCTCCACCTCAGCTTCCTGCTGTGCTGCTTCTGGGTGTGGCAGCTGAAGGGCGAGAAGGAGGAGGAGGAGGGCTGGGTCTGTGGTGGTCTGGGTTTGTTTTTACACTGGTCCCTGCTGGCCACCTTCACCTGGACCGCTCTGGAAGGATTCCACCTGTACCTCCTGCTGGTCCGAGTGTTTAACATCTACGTCAGGAGATACCTGCTCAAACTCAGCGTGGTGGGATGGGGTGAGTGAAGAGTATGATGACGTTTATTTGAATGGTTTAAGAAGAATTAAATTAATCTGTTTAATGTTGAATGAATGAATTAACTGATGAATTTAGACAAAAATCAAAGAAATAAAAAAAAACATCCTTTTGATACCACATGGGTCAGATTGAGAAAACAAGACGAGACACAAAGAAACTGTTGTTTATTACAGGTGTCTTCATGAGCTTGTGTTTTGTCTTTTTTTCATGTTTTCTCACCTTGTGGAAAAGTTTGGTTTTGTTATTTGTCTTTAATCCAAACTTTTGAATCCACTTGAAGAAATTGTCCCAGAGCAGTTGAAAAATATCGTTCTCATTCGACATCACTCACACAGGAGGAAGTAGAGGGTGTGTATTGGCAGAGGCGCTGCTTGTCAACAGGCCACTTAGGGGCCCCCGAGGGCTGACGTACTTTAAACCACAGCAGGAGCTCAAAAATGTGCAAATTTTGCAAAGACAGTAGGAAACCTCCCTAATGGGTCCCCATCTGACAGCGCTCACTCTCATTGCCCTGCTTAGCGTCTCATGTCTTTCTCCTGTGAAATCCAAAGTCCGTCAGTGAAAATAACTGAATCCACTGTATCCACTGTAGTGACCAGTTTGCGTGAACATGTCGACTCCTCCACAGCTGTCACGTCATGTTGAAGTAACTTGAGTTTCTTGTCTTCATGCAGGACTTCCTACACTGACTGCAGTGGTTTGTGGGATTTCCGGCGTCTATGGTAAATACAAAGTGGAGCTGACGGATGAAAACAATCTTAACTCAACAGCAGCCATGTAAGAAATCAAGAGTTTGAATCTGTGCTCTGTTTCATGTCCAACTCAGCGGTTATTCAAACGTTCTTGGACTTTGTTGTTTTTTTGTTGCTAACCTGCAGATGCTGGATTAGCAGTGATTTCAAGCAGCGGCTTGTGGTCAGCTACATCACCACCGTGGCTCTCCCGTGTCTGGTGATCCTGTGTAACTCCTGCATGCTGGGGCTGGTGGTGTTCAAGATGTGGGGCCTGAGGAGGGGCGGTGAGAGGCAGAAGATGGACAGAGAGAAGGGATCCAGGTTGTGGAAGGACTGTGCCACGGTGATCGGGGCTCAGCTGGGTGCTGGGTCTACCGTGGGGGTTAGCGAGCACCACCTACGTCTCCCTGCCGGGGATCTACGTGTTCACCATACTCAACTCCCTGCAGGGTCAGTGTGATGATCTTCATACAGGAAGTCTGCACTCCACCTTCACCCTTTTCTGAGAGAATTAAAACCCTTTTTTTTTTATCTCCTCAGGTGTTTTTGTGTTCCTGTGGTCTGTCGCTTTGACCTGCAAGTCTCGATCGGACATCTCCTCATCCAGAGACCCCTCCTCCTCCCAGAAAATGATGACAACAAGTTTTAATAACTGATTCTTCATTTTCATCTTCATGTATTATCCATTGCCTATATTAGGTGTTTACTGGAACCATAATAACTTAATTAGTCTGTGCTTTAAATAAAATCATTATAAACAATAAAAACCTTGGATTGATTGACTACTTCTAGAGTTATGTTCATGATCACTGAGGTAGTTCTTCTTGGAGCCAAGGAGGAGTCAGCACCACAGACTGTAAACATGAATGGACAAAGCCTAAGTGACATCACCCGTTTGTTCCCGCAGCGCCTTTGGAGTCCCATTGGTGGCGGTCTCCAGGCTGGAAATCCTCTCACCCTAACTTCCAGGAAACCTAACGACAGTGTCATGATTTGGTCTTGCTTAGTTTTGTGTTTTGAGTAATTCTTTATCTTGTTTTAGGTCTCATTCTTCCCTGGTGTTGCTTGTTTCCTTTGTGTGTTTTTATCTTATTTTTTCCAAGTTTAGTCTTTAGTGTTTCCTGATTTTATTTTGTAAAGTTTCTCTGTAAATTCTCGAGTTCTCTGTGTCTTTAGTGTTTCCTGATTTATATTGTAGTTTTTGTCCCCAGTGTTCACACTCTATAGCGGGGTGGCAAAAGTGCCTACACAATCGGACGCAGCTGATTTGGGTTTCCAGGGACTTTAACTACATGTCCTTTTAGTAATCCATTACCAGCCTTATCATATGGATCAGAGAGATGTGAGAACATGTACAGCTTTAAGGCCCTGACACATCAAGGAGATCGTCGCCCGTCGCTCCTAGTTCCTGCAGGAACTATGAACTATTTATGTTCCCAGAACCCCGTTTAGTGGAACCTTTTTAGCTCCTGCTTCAGAGTAGGTACCATGGTGGCATGGTACCATGAAGACAGAAAAAAGTCCCCATGTTGTGTAGTTGTCAGGCAACCTCCCGTCTCAAAAAATGAAGCCAATGCGGAAGTGCAAAATCCTGCAGATTCATCGAGTGTCCACTAGAGGCCTGGCTCCAGGAACACCGGAAGTCACAAACACATGACTGGCAAAAAAACTGTTTTTACAGCATCAATAAACATGTTTACAGACTGGTACAAAAAACAAAATAGGTCTGATTAGTTATTGTCATCACTGACACACACCGTATGGGGGGTTCATTTTATTTAAACGGCTCTGTTTTGATTTTGAAAACGATACATGTTATCCATAGTTAGGCGTGTAGCTGACATGATTAACAGCTCTAGCTCTCAGCCTGTCGTTAGGTTGACTGAAAGTTAGACTGAGACAGCATTTCCAGCATGGCGGCTGCTGCTGATGAGCCTCCAGACCCCCCTGCAGGAACAGATGGATGACGTCACTCAGGCTTCAGACCACCTACTGTAGGTGTTTTCGGACCAAACAGTTCTGGGTGCTGTTTGTGAGAGTAATTTGATGGTGAGCAAAAGGCTCATAAAATTACACTAACACTATTAGTACAACAAAGTAATGATACAATCAGACAGGAAGGAAAATTCTACGTTTAATGAATAATACAAAACTCAACTCTCTCTCTCTCTCTCTGATGTCGGACTCTAGCCACTGTCCTGTCTCTCTAATAATCGTACAAAAAACCCAGAAATTATCTTTAAAAAAAGTGACTGTCCTCTTTTAATGAGTGTGAGCTGCTTACACATGATTATTATTTCTAACAGTTTGTATTCAGATGAAGCAGCTCCTTAATTCTGCTCATATTTCAGTGAGAGCTGATGTCTCTGTAGGTCTGTGTGCACAAGTTTATAAATAATTTGAGGTCGACTTTGAGGAAGTCAAGGGGCCATATTTTGCCCGCATGCTGCCAGTTGAATTTCTCAGAAATCGTGGGGCAGCTCCGGCATGTTTGTATATATATTAGTATCACGACACTGAATTGACTCAGTACTGGTTTGATGATTAATAGACCACAGACAGGAAGTCATGGTAACATTTAGTTTTAATATATTTACAATGATAAAGTTAAAAAAAAGAAAAGAAAAGTATCAAATTTCAGTTCACTGTGAGTTATAAATGTTGTTGTTGTTTGCAGTTGTTATGAGGACATGATTGCCACCTGTGAACGACCCAAAAACCGTTTGGACAACCGTTTCATTCGGATGAAAGTGAACTCCTCTCAGGAGGTGAGAACGTATTCTTCTCCAGCTGTCTGGTAAAATACACTGCAGGTTTATATAACATGCACAAAAAAATGAGGAAAGTAGTCGTCTTCATCGTACATACACACACACACACACACACACACACACACACACACACACACACACACACACACACACACACACATTGTCATCTGTCTTGCTGATTAGCTCTTGCAAGGTTTCTTTTGTTTACACACTCTGTAAAGACCAGTAGCCTCCAGGGTGGTCCCTATAAATAGAGAAGAAAAGACTAACAATGTGCTGCTATCGGCTCAAGGGGGGGGTCACATGACCTGCATAGGAGGCGGACTCTGGACTCTTTTCCTCATTAAAGGACTCACATCCCCCCCAAACTGTTTCTTTAGTGACAGCACAAGAACCTGTTTGTTAGAGGAAACACTTCCACCCAGTCCACCTGGCATTTTTAAGTCCTCCTCACTCGGGGTAAGTTCAGGTTTTTCTCTGATTTAATCACAACTTTATGGAAACGTTATAGAATTGTTTTTGTTCACTGGAAGAGAGAGAAAAAAGAAATAGAGAAGGATGTTAGAATTAAAGCTCCTGTGAGCAGTTTTTAGCCGGTTATAAAGCAGACTCAAACCAATTCTGATGCCTCTGTGTGAAAAGCCAACAAAACCGTCAGAGAAGGACTGATTATTTCTACATTGTATTTCTGATGTTTTAAATGCTTGTAACCATTGCCACAGGGACGATGTCAGGTAGCATGAGTTGCAGTTTTCTCACAGGAGCTTTAACGTAAAGGGCTTTCACACTTTCAGAAAACTCCTGAAAAACTCGGGATAGCGCGATGGCAGTCCTCATCTAGATATTTTCAGAAGTGCAGATGTGAAAGTGGCTGTAGTGTGGTATGTTCACCGTATGCACTATTAACTAGCTGCTTATTAGCGTTCTAATTAGTGCTGCAATTACAATAAAACCATAAAAACAATAGCACTAGTCAGACAGGTCAAATCAGGCAGAGGCAGTCGTTTTTAGGGAAAAGGTTTTAAGGGGAAGGGAAAGGCTCTTTTCCCTAAAGTGGAAAGTTTTCAGGTCCTTTTTAAAGGAGTTCACTGTCTGTGGGGCCCTCAGATTAGTAGGAGGCTCTGCCCCCCATAGAGCAGAGCTTAGTCCTGGGGGTTGGAGGCAGTTGGTGGCGGCAGATCGGAGGTGTCTTGTTTGGGTTTGTGGGACGAGCAGTTCTTTAAGGTATGGAGGGGCATTGCCCTGCATGCATTAATGTGTTGCACACTTTGTACACAAAGGAACTTCCAAGCATGCATGAGTTTTATAATTATTATTTTACTTAGTTCTCTGAAATACAGAAACACAAGCACATCAATTCAGCATGGATGCATATTACCGGACATCTGGGTAGACGTAATTAGGAATGGCACCAAAGACCCCTATGCTGCCCCAAAACTGCCTGTGTGAGAATGAGGGGTGCCTAGTGTCCATAAACATGCCTGACATGTACCCTACAGATGGGTAAATAATGAGATTTTATATTCAAGCCTGAGAGAGACGGGAAGCTAGTAGCATACTGGCTGCCTATTAGTCATTATTTAGCGCTTATTAGCACCTTATTCTACACAATTAGTCTTTAGCTAATAGGTCATTAACTAAGAGTTTGCCCTCTTAATAGCTGCTAATTGAAAGTAAGTTAGGAAGTTGTTGAACATAAATATGATCTTATGATGCTTGCGTAGAGTGGCCCTTATAAGGTAGTAGTTCTTCTTCATTAAAGTCTTAACATGTGATTTTTCACACTTGAATATAATATAAATCAAGTATATCCTCTGAAAATAACTCTGTGAGTCATGACTGTCTACAATGGGTGTAACACCCGAGTCCCACTGTCTGTGATGTTTTCAGAGTTTTCAGAGTCCTATCTTCACTTTGTTTACATCGCCGGGACGGCCGGCTGACTCCTCCCCTCGAGTATAAAAGTTGTTTAATTGAGGGACTAGAGAAAAGAAGAATAACATACTGTACTCACTGCTTAACTGTGTTTCTAGATCACGCTCATTTCAGGTAAATTTACATGCAGTGTGAAGATACCAGCATAATAAAGATCACTAGCATTAGCATGCTAACACAACAATGCAGCGCGAGTTGTTTTGGTTTCATGCTAGTGCTCAAGGGCGACATCTGCTGGATCAAAAAATACATATAAACGCATATAAAGCCTTTAATAACTCAATAATTACTGACCAACAGGGTACCCCGTGCACCGCTAACCGACGTCCTCAGGTGCTGCTTGGTTGCAGGAACACACCATGAAAAAATAAATAAACCGAGGCAAACTAAAAACGACTTTACTGTCACTTAATTGACGAGTCTCACCTGAAGCTTCCTCAGGTTCGCCCAGCTTTATAACATGGGCATACACAGGTGTGTTAAATGCATATGGTCACATGACCAATCATGCTTCTTATTTAATGTCTTGTTTTCTTTTCTCAGAGTGTTCAACATGTCAGCTGCCAGCTGTCTGCTGTCCGAAGCCCACTTCCTGTGCTCCATCTGTCTGGACGTGTTCAACCGTCCTGTCACCATACCATGTGGTCACAACTTCTGCAAGTGCTGCATCACCGAAGACTGGAAGATCAACAGGAAGTGCAAGTGTCCCGTTTGTAAAAAGATTTTCGACTTGATACCTGAGCTCCATGTCAACACCTTCATATCTGAGATGGCCATTCAGTTCAAGCAGGAGGCGGTAAAGAAAGCCTCGGAGATCGCTCAGCCTGGAGAGGTTCCCTGTGACGTCTGCACCGGAGTCAGACTGAGAGCCCTGAAGTCCTGCCCGGTGTGTCTGGCCTCATACTGTGAGATTCACCTGGAGCGGCATCAGACAGTATCAAGATTGACAAGACATAAGCTCATCGAGCCGCTTCATAACCTTGAGGACAAGATCTGCACAAAGCATGACAAACTGATGGAGCTGTACTGCAAGGACGACCAGATGTGTGTGTGTCGGTTTTGTGCAGAAACAGACCACGAGTCCCACGACGTCGTTCCTCTGGCGGAAGAGAGCAAAGGAAGGAAGACTGAGCTCAGGGAGACGCAGGCAGAGTTTCAGCAGATGGTGCAGCAGCGAGAGTTTAAGATCAGAGAGCTCCGACAGTCGGCTTCCCTCAGCAGGGAAGCTGCAGACAGAGAGATGGCAGATGGCGTGCAGGTCTTCACCGCTCTGACGCGGTTTGTGGAGACGGGTCTGAGCGAGCTAACCAAACAGATCAGACAGAAGCAGAAGACCACGGCGAAACAAGCCGAGGACTACATCAAAGAGCTGAATCTGGAGACCTCCGAGGTGAGGAAGAGGAACGCTGAGGTGGAGCAGCTCTCGCGCTCCGATGACCACCACAGACTCCTCCAAACGTTTTCATCCCTGAAGTCCTCCCTGCCCTCCAAGAACTGGACTGAAATCAGCCTCCGTCAACCTTCGTATGAGGGGACTATAGCAAGAGCCGTGGCCGAACTTAAAGAAACCCTCAGCAAAGGGGTGGAGAAGCGTCTTGAAGGCGAGCTGCAGAGGGTGCAGCGGTATGCGGTGGATGTAATTCTGGATCCGGACACGGCACATCCCAAACTCCTTCTGTCTGACGATGGAAAACAAGTCAATCACAGCGACGAGGCGAGGAATCTCCCAGACAATCCGGAGAGATTTTCATTTTGTGTGATCGTGTTGGGGAAGCAGAGTTTGTCCGCTGGGAGGTTCTACTTCGAGGTGGAGGTCAGAGGGAAAACCAAGTGGGATTTAGGAGTCGTGAGCGTGTCCGCCAACAGGAAGGGACAGATCACGTCGTGCCCGGAAGCCGGGTACTGGACTCTGCAGCTGAGGAACGGAAACGAGTACGTGGCTCTGACTGACCCTGACGTCCTCCTCTCGGTGAGGGCTCAGCCTCAGAAGGTGGGCGTGTTTGTCGATTATGACGAGGGTCTGGTCTCCTTTTACAACGTTGATGCTAAAGATATGATCTACTCCTTCACCGGCTGCTCCTTCACAGAGGATCTCTGCCCATTCTTCAGTCCCTGTTTTAACGACAGGGGTGATAACTCTGCACCGCTGAGGATCTCTGTTGTGCAAAAAACCTAAATATCTCATTTTATAATACTCATCATGAATGTGCAGTATATTTATTATTCTTTTATTGTTATTTCACAAACGATGAAATGATAACTAACCCTTTGTCAAGCCCCTCCCTCCTTAGTTACTGTTACTAGGTTGGACAAAATCTCTTGGTCGCTTGGCTCCTTCCCATTTGACACAATTGAAAATGTTCCATGATTTCACAAACTTATTTAAATTGAATTGATTCAAAACATGTCCTCAGTGAAATAAATACATCAGAGATACAGTAGGGTGTCTGAGGAGAACTCTAAATCTCTAAAACTTTTTATATGATCCGTGTCTGATGCTAGTGAGGTCGGCTAACATTCCACCAGTGGATGCTAGCCGCCCCGCCTCTATACTGACTCACCTCTGGACTCCATCAGCGACAGCGTTCCATTGCTGGAACCAGGGGTTTGATAGATCCTCTTAATGTTGCCAACAGGGTCGTCAATACGCAGCTGAGAGTTATGTGCACAGTGACATCACAGCGCTAAATGCTACAGATGCATGTAAAAAAGAGAAACGTCATAATGAGTCTCTGAAAATGACGGTCTGCAGAGCTGTCGCCGGGCAGAACTGCTCAGGTGAAGACAACTACATTATTAATTATCACAGATTGTAATTATCACCTGCTGTATTTTCAAATATCTGTCATATAACCATAAACAACATCCCTTGGGTTTAGGGAACGGGATGAAGAAATGTCTCGGATCACGATCTGGACATTTAGAGTCACTCTCGCAGACACCCCGAGCAACTTTTCACCGTGTTAAAGGTCAAACCTTCATCATGACGGCACTGACCCGGGCGCCTTGGCCCGAGCTAACGTTTGTCCAAGCAGAAAGCAGTTTTTTATTATTCCTAAAGCTATTTATGACTTTGTCAGCAGTTCATTGTTGGTTTGTTTACAATCTATAAACATGATTTGGATGCAACAGATGTTTCTTATTCTTTGTAAATGGTAATTAAAAGCTGTAAACAGTAACACCACTTTGACAACATTTCTGCTTTGTCTGAATTTCTTCTTAATAAATTGGAAAGGAGGAAAAAAGTAACTCATGACGGATACATTACTCAGACTCTCTTCATATGAATTGGATGTATTGCATGTTCATCATTTATGCCAGAAGCCTTTTAAATTCAAGAACCGATGTCACGGGTGTGGAAAATCAGGAACTGGTCCCAAATGTAGAATGAAAAATAAAACTATTTATTGAAAGAAAAAGGCAAAAACTAAAACTTTTTATCAAAATGTCCGAACTGAGAAAATCAACAAAACAAACGATAACCACTGAGAAACACTGACACTCCAACGTACGACAAACAACCCTGGCATCTTACAACAGCTTACAAACCGAGTGAAGGAACACAGAGACTAAATAGACACAGGGGTAATCAAACACAGGTGAGACTAACAAAACACAGGTGAAGACAATCAGGGCGATCAACACAGAGGCAGGATTAAACACAAGAAGTCAGAGACCACAGGAACACAAAAAAACCTGAGAAGATAAAAAAAAAAAGGGTTTTAATTCACTCAGAAAAGGGTGAAGGTGGAGTGCAGACTTCCTGTTTGAAGATCATCACACTGACCCTGCAGGGAGTTGAGTATGGTGAACACGTAGATCCCCGGCAGGGAGACGTAGGTGGTGCTCGCTAACCCCCACGGTAGACCCAGCACCCAGCTGAGCCCGATCACCGTGGCACAGTCCTTCCACAACCTGGAGCCCTTCTCTCTGTCCATCTTCTGCCTCTCACTGCCCCGCCTCAGGCCCCTCCTCAGGCCCCTCCTCAGGCCCCTCCTCAGGCCCCACATCTTGAACACCACCAGCCCCAGCATGCAGGAGTTACACAGGATCACCAGACACGGGAGAGCCACAGTGGTGATGTAGCTGACCACAAGCCGCTGCTTGAAATCACTGCTAATCCAGCATCTGCAGGTTAGTGTAACAGAGTTAAAATGCACTTTATTTTTGAGTACAGTTTTACAATTTATACTTATACTTGTATTTGTGAATTTTATCTTAACGAGTTATGTATATTTACTGTTATTTTATCAAATTTATGTTTCCTTTGAGAATGACCTTTTTGGCACTTTGCAGCTTCTGTACCTCCTGGGTTACCGTAGCTCCTTCCGTCTGTCCCTCACAGTTAGTGATGTGAAAAGCAGTTCTTTTCAGTGTACTGAATCAGTAGAATCAGTTCAGTGAAGTGATTCGTTCAAAAGATTCGTTCACTGAATCGTTCAGTACTTCTCTGTAGCTCTGTCTGTGAATCAGAATTTAATAAGCTGAAACACGGCCGAACGTTTAGTTCTGCTCGCGATCGTACTGAGAACAGCCGGTGGTGAATAATAAACCAATGAGCTGAGAATTTAGTTGGATGAAGCTCCAGTTTGCAAACTGAAAGCTGCTAAAACAATCACATTTATTTTCCCCGACCGTTCTGTTCAGTACGTTCAGAACACAAATCACTCACTGACTGACCGACTGAGAGGAAGAGAGTGACTCGGAGGCGGAGCTCAGAGCACATTTGAAACGAAGCATTATAGGAGGAAAATAGGAAAAGATGTCTGTGCTGCCCGCCATACAACAAAGGGCCCAATGCCACAAATTTACCACAAGTACAGCAAAGAAGCTCATGTGGTTGCAGCTGCAGATTGTTTCACTCCCAGTGTTGTTGGTTTCACAGCCGTCTGGGCTCCAATACACTAAAACACAAACACAGCAGGTTCATCATAAAATGAAACTTAGGTATTTATCCAAGAGAAAATATATTGTTTATGTCTGGCATGTGAAGTGAACCTGTTCCATTCCCGTGTGCAGACTCGTACCAGAACACACACGTCCCAGCGTCCACCTGAAACACGTTCAACATTAGAGCAGATCTTTACATGTTTAAAGTGTCATGCCAGCACATCAGCTGTCCTTGTTGTACCTGTTTGTTGTGCACAAAGGTTAATCTGACGGGGTGTGGGAGGTTTGTGACCGACTGACTCCCTGCCCTCACCACCAACACAAACCCCCCCATGACATCTCCGTCTATGCGGGTTGGCATGATTGCTCTGCTCTTACTTCTTCTTGGTTCACTCACCTGTAATGAAAAAAACAAACACCAGAGCTATCAGAGGGGCATGATGAATTTCTGCTGAGGTTATCTTATTTTAACGTCAACTTAAGCCAAATAACTTACCCGTATTTATAAGAAGCCTTTAAATTAAGTAAAGTCACGAGGAGAGGTGGCTTTGAGTGACAGGTGGATATTGTTGACGTTTGAAATCAACTCAGCTGATTTAGTCACTAAAGCTGTTTTCACACATGCACTCCTGAAAATATCTAGATTATTTTAGAAGGACTCCTCCAAATATTCTCCTGACCTGGCTGTTCACATTTGCTCCTCACAGCTGGAGACGTGTTGTAAAAAAAAAAAAAAAAAAAAGACGAGGAAGTGATGGACGGAGCAACAGTGCGCAAATTTCCCCGCTCTGACCGATGGCGGGCTGTTGCCGTATTGCCATTAAGCGCTCCCCGAGGACTGTGACGTCATAAGCCCCCGTTCAGAGACGTGCTGATATGTGAACAGGTGGTTTGTTTCCGTTATCGTTGGACTTTTCTGGAGTGGTGCGTGAGTTTTATTGTCTTCAGTTATGTAGGATATAACCTTTAAGTTGTTTATATTTATCTTAAAAAGTCATTATTTGTAGACTTGTTCATCAATTAGTAACCTATACTAACAGTTACACAGACATGTTGTGTGTATATTTCAGCAGTGTTACCGTGCATTACTGTTTTCAATGTTCAATTGTGTTAATTAGGCGCCATATTTGATAACACGTGCTGTATTCCATGTCGTAGGGAGACCTCTGCTGGACATTTTGCAGAAGTGTTTTAATCCTGTATAAATGCCTGGACTCTTCAGTTATATTTTAAGTTATCTGTTGATAAGAAGGAGCATGTCATTGGTAATATAATTTCTTTGTTTGTGTCCCCTTTAGAAAAACCTCGCTCATACACTCGCAGAGACTAAGCTGCTTGGAATGTATGTGAATACAGAACAAAGTTGTTAATTATGCATGATTGTCTAGCTTGGTCATTTGTTAAGAACAGGTTAGTTCATTCATTACTTGTATTCTTCAGAAATATTTCAGCGACAAAGACGCCGTCTATTTTATATAAGAATTGATCTCCAAGTTTAGATAGACATGACCACTCTACCAGACATGCTACTATACATTACCAAAGCAAAGACAAATGCAATCAAGCGAACAGTCTTGTACCGAGCCATGCATGAATGGAATTCCCCTCCTAGACATATCACTCAAGAAAAGTTAGATTTAAACTATTATTAAAACAGCACCTCATGATAAGGTGTATTGAATAAACAGTAGAATATGGTTATGAGATGATAAGATAGGATAATACTTTATTGATCCCCAGAGGGGAAATTCGGGCGTTACAGCAGCACAGACAAGTAAGCTCAAAAATACACATTAAACAGAATAGATAAGATAAATAAAAATAAAAACAGGGGGTATATACAAGTACAAAATGAATGATGAAGTTAACTGGGGGGAATTGAGACAGTATTTGCAGAGAATGACAAGATAAAGTAACAAGTGATTAAAGTGACTTGGTGTGATAAATAGCAGCAAGTAATGTAAACAGCAGAGAAGAGAGGCAGTGTTGTACCACAGTAATGAGTGCAGTTATATAATGTAGTATAATATAGTGCAATATAATTAAATGTTATATAATATAGACTTGTATATATGTACAGTGGGTACGGAAAGTATTCAGACCCCTTTACATTTTTCACTCTGTTTCATTGCAGCCATTTGCTAAAATCAAAAAAGTTCATTTTATTTCTCATTAATGTACACTCAGCACCCCATCTTGACAGAAAAAAAACAGAAATGTAGAAATTTATTAAAAAAGAAAAACTGAAATATCACATGGTCATAAGTATTCAGACCCTTTGCTCAGTATTGAGTAGAAGCACCCTTTTGAGCTAGTACAGCCATGAGTCTTCTTGGGAATGATGCAACAAGTTTTTCACACCTGGATTTGGAAATCCTCTGCCATTCTTCCTTGCAGATCCTCTCCAGTTCTGTCAGGTTGGATGATGAACGTTGGTGGACAGCCATTTTCAGGTCTCTCCAGAGATGCTCAATTGGGTTTAGGTCAGGGCTCTGGCTGGGCCAGTCAAGAATGGTCACAGAGTTGTTCCGAAGCCACTCCTTTGTTTTTTTAGCCGTGTGCTTAGGGTCATTGTCTTGTTGGAAGGTGAACCTTCGGCCCAGTCTGAGGTCCTGAGCACTCTGGAAGAGGTTTTCTTCCAGGATATCTCTGTACTTGGCCGCATTCATCTTTCCTTCAATTGCAACCAGTCGTCCTGTCCCTGCAGCTGAAAAACATGATTTTTTTTAGCATGATGCTGCCACCACCATGTTTCACTGTTGGGATTGTATTGGGCAGGTGATGAGCAGTGCCTGGTTTTCTCCACACATACCGCTTAGAATTAAAGCCAAAAAGTTCAATCTTGGTCTCATCAGACCAGAGAATCTTCTTTCTCATAGTCTGGGAGTCCTTCTTGTGTTTTTTGGCAAACTCTATGCAGGCTTTCATACGTCTTGCACTGAGGAGAGGCTTCTGTCGGGCCACTCTGCCATAAAGCCCCGACTGGTGGAGGGCTGCAGTGATAGTTGACTTTGTGGAACTTTCTCCCATCTCCCTACTGCATCTCTGGAGCTCAGCCACAGTGATCTTTGGGTTCTTCTTTACCTCTCTCACCAAGGCTCTTCTCCCACGATTGCTCAGTTTGGCTGGACGGCCAGGTCTAGGAAGAGTTCTGGTCGTCCCAAACTTCTTCCATTTAAGGATTGTGGAGGCCACTGTGCTCTTAGGAACCTTGAGTGCTGCAGAAATTCTTTTGTAACCTTGGCCAGATCTGTGCCTTGCCACAATTCTGTCTCTGAGCTCCTTGGGCAGTTCCTTCGACCTCATGATTCTCATTTGCTCTGACATGCACTGTGAGCTGTAAGGTCTTATATAGACAGGTGTGTGGCTTTCCTAATCAAGTCCAATCAGTTTAATTAAACACAGCTGGACTCCAATGAAGGAGCAGAACCATCTCAAGGAGGATCAGAAGAAATGGACAGCATGTGAGTTAAATGAGTGTCACAGCAAAGGGTCTGAATACTTATGACCATGTGATATTTCAGTTTTTCTTTTTTAATAAATTTGCAAAAATTTCTACATTTCTGTTTTTTTTTCTGTCAAGATGGGGTGCTGAGTGTACATTAATGAGAAATAAAATGAACTTTTTTGATTTTAGCAAATGGCTGCAATGAAACAAAGAGTGAAAAATGTAAAGGGGTCTGAATACTTTCCGTACCCACTGTGTATATATATATATATATATATATATTGATGCTAAATAATAATAATACAATGTTAGTAGTGATAATAATGAAGCAGGTCATGTGGGTAGTGTTTTATGGGGGTGAAGTTTTGTGTCAGGATGGATTGTTATTGTTGTCATAGGCTGCTGTTGTACAGTCTGATGGCAGTGGGCACAAAGGGGCGCCTGAAGCGCTCTGTTTTGCACCTGGGGGGGGGATGAGGCGTTGGCTGAAGGAGCTGCCCATCTGCCACAGCTCACCATGTAGAGGGTGAGAGGAGTTATCCAGGATGGATAAGATTTTGTCCTTCATCCTCCTCTCACCCACTGTCTCCAAACTGTCCAGATCAAGACCCACTACAGAGCGGGCCTTCCTCATAAATATGTACATATGAAGAACATGGTGTGCATATATGCATTTGTATGTATGTTTGCACATTTATATGTATGTTTATGTATTATATATGTGTGTACGAGTGTGTACGTATGCAGGTATGTATTATGTGTGTACATATGTATCATTATTGGAAAATGTTGGGACAATGAAGTGATGCGGACTATTTCACATTTTCAAAGGAGCTTGTGTGTGTGTGAATGTGTGTGTCTGTTGTAGTCCTGTCCTGTTTATGATTAATGACCCCTGTCATTCAGATTTCATTTTCTCATTATCCTGGATTTCAGTCATTTTTTAAAACCAGGGTTCCCAAAGCTAAACATTCATAATCTAACCCCCTTATCTATTAAAGGGGGATCTAAGGAAGTAAACCTGTCTCGCCATGAGGTCTCCAAAGTTGAGGTTACAGGGTGACTGACCTTAAAGTAAATGCTTTCGATCACAGTGGTCACCAGCAGCACCTCGTCTGATGCAGCTCCTCCCATGCTTCTTTGGAGTGCCGAGGATGGGATGTAAAACCGGTGCTGAGGCGTGAGGCCCGCTTCGATCTTTAAAAAACAACGCACACATAAAGTCCAGTTAAAGTCTAGTTTGATAATACAGTTTTTAATGTAGCCTCCAAAGATAGATAACATCAAGGTGATCAGAGTGCAATATGTAACTCTGACACCTAGTGTTTAAAATGGGTACTGCGGTCTAAATTGTAAACATCATAGAGAGCTGTCTCCCCCCCCCTCCTCTCTAGAGTGGATGCTCTCAGGTCACCATGTGGTGGACTCTGAAGCTTCAGTGTTTATCCAGCTCTGCATGGGTCTGTAAACCTTTCTGTGTTCTAACCTCTCTCCATTTTTCAAAAGCATCTCCAATATTGATCCTAGTTTGAGCACGTTTCTGCTCGTGGAGCTTATTAGAAACATGCAGAGGCTTTTTAGGTCGGGTACAATCACTTCTATCTGAACCACTTCTCTTGCCCGCTTCCATCGCTGCAACACCTGTTGACCTGATAACTGCTCTCATATCTGGCAAACAGAGGGCGTCCAAAACAGCCGTGTGGGTGGTCGCCTTAAAACCTCCTACCTTCTCTGGTCCAAACAAATCCAGAGCATTCAGGAGCAGAATCTAAAGTTAGAAGGAGGACATACTGGCTGCTGCATTGTTGTCAGAGAAGCCAGCACTTCAACACAGCATGTTTCCTTAATGATCAGAGAGTAAGATACCTTTATCATTTCATTGGGTAGATATCTTACTGATTGGTCCTTTAATTGTGTGTGTGTGTGTGTGTGTGTGTGTGTGTGTGTGTGTGTGTGTGTGTGTGTGTGTGTGTGTGTGTGTGTGTGTGTGTGTGTGTGTGTGTGTGTGTGTGTGTGTGTGTGACTTTCCTCATTTGTTTGTGCATTTTATATAAACCTGCAGTGTATTTTACCAGACAGCAGACGTCGTTCTCAGAGAGGAGTTCACTTTCATCCGAATGAAACGGTTGTCCAAACGGCTTTTGGGTCGTTCACAGGTGGCAAGCCTGTCCTCATAACACCTGCAAACAACAACAACATTTATAACTATAATCGGGTGTTTCACAGTGAACTGAAATTTCATACTTTTCCAAATTGTGCAGTTCTATAATTTTCTAGGGTTCAGGTCTTGTTGGAGGTCAAATGTGTCTCTGGTGTTTGTGACTCAGAGAGTAAAATCTGGATTGAGAGGAAGATAAATGATCTGAATCTGCACTGTTCAGCAGTTAGGGTTAGCTAGGAAAGTCAGACTCTCTTAGGTAGTATGGTGAAATGTGTTACATGAGACACGTTAGTGCATCAGTAGCGTGTCAGACCCACCATTTTTTTTTTTTTTTTGTGAAAATTGTATTTTTTGTGTCACAGCCAAAACATATTTTGTTGTTTATAAATTACCAGGAATCCCTTTTTTCTGCTTGTGTGCATTTTTTTTAAATGAAGAAAAAAGTGGGACAGAGCGAGAGGTCAGATCGCGGTCAGGTAGGGACGCATGATTCGAGAGTTTTGTGCACTTCACGAGAGCTCAGCGATTTTTTTCCAAAGTCGAAGGATCAATGGTTGTTTTGTTAGTTTCGTCCAAATAAAAAAAGTAGGAACAGGGTTTTAATGTTATTCTCTGCTGTGCTGCTGTGTCATGTTGATAATAGAAGAGTGTGTGATGATGACACTTGTTGATGTTTGTGCAGGGACAAGGGAAGCACATTTAAACTATCAGGTTATTAAAACATTTAAACTAAGTAATAGTTTCTGCAGAGTGAGAGGCCTACAACTCTGAGAGCGTTTATATCGTTACGCACTGAAGTGTCGCTGAGAGGTTTTCAACATAATCAAAGAAACCAAAGACGTCTGATCATCCTGTCACACAGAGCAGCAACTAGATCATGTTATCCTAGATGTTGGAGTTTTAGTTGATTACTGTTTTAATAACTGCAGAACAACCTCTGAAAGAAAGAGCGGGCGCTCATACAGAAACTTCAATCGATCATCACTTCTAATGTAAATCAGTTTATTGGGATCTACACTGCAGACTGTAGTCTCTGTTAACAGACTGATGCTGTCCAAACAGCTCCAACGTAGGTCAACGCGTCACCTTCACTGCTGTAATCATTATAAACTATAAACTGGTTATTGGACACGTCACAGAGAACTTTGGCTGTGAGGTTTGCCGTCTGCTGAAGTGTAAAATGTTCTGAAATCGATACTTAATACTAAGTATTACTAAAAGGCCTAAGTGATTATAATCCAGAATATTCAAATTAATTAATAAAATGTGAATTTATCATATAAAATGACATTTCTCAACTGAAAACAGCCAACACAAAACTCAGAGCACGACGGAGACAGATGTATGTGATTCCACGCCCTTCTCTCCAGTTGATTTTGAGCCATTATTTTGTGAAAGCCCCGGGGGATCAGGAGTTCTGAGTATTTTTGATTTATTCAGTGACTTTTCTGTCTCCTCCTGCCGCGCTCTCGTTGCCGCGGGACCTCAGGGTTTACAAATTACGCACGGCAAAAAGCGCATCACTAACTTGTTCCTTAAAACTTAGAAAACATTCGTACATAGTTTAATTTCGACCAGTATTCTTACCTGTAATGGAAGAAATGAAGAAGAAAGAAAAACAAACGTGAGCCTTTTCCGAAAAGCCACAGTTCAGTACGGAATGCGGACTTTACCCTAGGGGATTTCAGCAGACTGCATGGATGCCAACTTCCGGGTTTTCTAAAATGCTGAATGTCTTTGTCCACCCTCACACACTGACTGACTTTGATGCGCGTTCCCACTAAGTCTGTGAGGGTTCAGGTCTGTCCTGCTGTCAGACCATGAAGTGTGTGATCTCTCGCTGATTTTATGAGCTTCTTATGCACCCTGTCCGCAAGTGGGCACCTGCAGATTTGGCGCGAGGGAATTGCCCATAGTTTAAAGCATTGTGACGCAAAACATGGGTTTCCTAGGGGAAGCCCGGAAGAATGGAGATAAGAGTAGTCACTACAAGTGGCTTATTAAGGGCTTTGGGACAGTGGCGGTTCTAGACCACTTTTAGTGAGGGGGCCAAACTGGGACCAGTTGTTTTTTCTTCAGAGGGGGAAATTAAACCCAGGTGAAAAATAGACAAAGATGATCGCTTTAATAAATATATATTATGCCAAATAATAGCGCACATCATTAAATATTTGTTTCAGTAACAGAATTTAATACTAGATTAAGAATCCGGTTGTTGACTCAAATTCTGTGTGTGTGTTATGAGGGGGGCTCTTCCTGTTGGAGGGGTGGCCAGCTCAGTGTAACAGGGGCACTGGCCCCCCGTTGGCCCCTGTCTAGAACGGCCCATGCTGTGGGAGGAAATTAAGATTCAGTCAATGAACGTACAAAGACGTGCTGATGGCAGAGAAGGGCTCCAGTGGGCCGACTGGTAAAGAGGTGTGACTTTGGGTGAAGTCAGGCTTTAGGATTTCTAATGTTGTTATCAAAGACTGACCACACAAAAACACATTTGTATCAGGGCATTTATTGGTTCTGATCCACACATGTCCCCCCCATCTGCTCCCAGAGACTTTGCAACACCTCTACCCCGGATCACCGCCCTAAAACGACGGCTTCCTGTCCTCGGTAAAAAAAAAACGTAGCAAGTGCCCATCAAACAGTCTGTGGCTGCTTTTCCGACTCCTGAGGCACTTCTTCAGTATCTGGTTCTGCAGACTCATCCACCTCCTCCATCCACTCCTCCAGAAACGCTTCTCCTTGTGACGCGCAGAGGTTGTGCAAGACACAGCAGCTGTTGACGACGGTGGGGACCCTCGAGGTGCTGACGTGCATCCTCTTCAACAGACACCGCCATCTTCCCTCAGCCGCCCTAAAGTACTCTCCACCATCGTCCGAGCATGAATCAGTCTGTAGTTAAAGTTCGTCTGCTCGACGGTGAGATGCCCGTCGTCCGGGTAACCGTTCATCAGCCAGCTGAGCAGAGGGTACACAGGGTCTCCCAACAACATCACACCTTCAACATCTTTAGAGTCCTGGTTTGTAAACATGATAACAAATTAACCATTTCAAACAACCCTCAAGATTTCTCTGAAAGTAAGGCAACAAACAAGAACGCCTCACCGGTGGGAAAAGGTCGGCGCTCTCAGCCAGATCGAACAGCGACGAGTTCCGGAGCATGGTGGCGTCGCGTACACTGCCAGCCCACCCCACGTTGATGTTGGTGAATCTGTTGATTGAGAGAAAAAGAGGCTTTAATGATATACGAGGAGGGCAAGCATACTTCAAAGAGTCTCACATAACGACTTCACGCGTCTACAAGAACCATCTTCTTCTTAAGGTCAGAGTTTAGTAAGGGTGTCATCATTATTGCGGCGGCTTAGGATTGAAAATTGCAGCACAGACACTAAAGTGGGATTGTACCTGCGACTCGTTCATGTTAAAATATTTTAAAAAGTCAGAAAAAATCCAAAAAAAGGGGGTGTGTGCCCAAACTTCATGGCCCAGGTGGAATCAGATGAAGTAGGAACAAATATCTGCCTACTGTGCGCGCCTACTTGTGAACATAGCATGCCTTCTAAAAGCTGTTTAAAGAGGACTCTCCCTAAAAAAAAGATCCCTCTCATATGACTTCTCGTCACGCGCCACAGTTTCCTGAACAACTGGTTTGTTTGATTCTAAAGTAACAGCACATAGTTGTTTTATTAGAGCACAGAGCATTTGGATGTCATGAGGCTTGGCTAATCGCTGTGAGATGTTATTGTTAGTGAGCAGCAACAGGCAGGGTTTGGATTTCTGAAGTTCCTTCCTGGAATGAAACACATCTTTCATGGTCGCAGAATGTGTCAAACATGTCATCGATATCTTCAGAGAAAAGGAACTTTTATCAATGAGGAAACAGAAGTTTAGAAACCTGTGTCCGATCAACTCTGATGATGAAAGCCATCATCACAACCAGAAGTTTTTCTGAATGAATGCAACCAGAATATAAATAAATAAATATTGTGATTGACATCTGCAGAGTTGTGAGTTCTGCTATGTACTTCTCCACTCCTCACTCCTCCCTCCTCACTCCTCCCTCCTCAACTCCTCACGCCTCCACTCATCCATTCCTCCACTCCTCCACTCCTCCACTCCTCACTCCTCCATATACAGGGGCCGGTAAGGACCAGTGTGCTCTATCTATTCTTCCTGTAAAGGTGAAGGTTTCAAATGGAAATCACATAATAACAACTTATGCCTTCTTGGATCCTGGCAGCTCTGGCACATTCTGCTCTGAACATCTCATGAAGAAGTTGAATGCTGCAGGTAAAAGAACCAGCTTTCTGTTACGGACAGTGGGGCAAGAAACAGTGAAGACTGCATACTCCTTGACAGGTTTAGAGGTTGCTGGTCTTGAAAGCAGTGATTTTCATGTGCTTCCAGATGTTCTCACACAGGAGAAAATGCCTGTGAATGCTGATGACATAGTGACACAGGATAAATGGCCACACTTAGAAAAAGTAAGCATCCCAAGTATCGAGAAAACTGTCGACCTGTTAATTGGCACCAATGCTCCCAGGTTATTGGAACAATGGGAGGTTGTCAACAGCTGCGGGAATGGCCCGTATGCCGTCAGGACAGTGCTGGGATGGTCCGTAAATGGTCCACTGAATGGAAACGGTGGTGCCATTGAGGCAGAATTTCCCTCTGCAATGGTAAACAGGATCGCTGTGTGTAAACTGGAGGAGATGTTGGCTGCCCAGTATAACCATGACTTCAATGACAAGAATGTGGAGGATGAAGGTCAAGAGAAGACATTAGGTTTTTGGAAATTGTCAATCATTCAGCAAAGCAGGTGGATGGGCATTACAGCCTGAAAATGCCTTTTAGGAAAGAGCAGCCCATGCTTCCAAATAATCTATTGGTGGCCAAGCAAAGGATTCTTGGGCTCAAGAAAAGGTTTGAGAAAGATTAACAGT